CAACGGTAGCAGTATATATATGTATGTATATGTATATATGTATATATATATATGTATATATATATACACACAATTATATATTTACACTCTCGTCTGTTCGTGCGCATCTAAACAGAAATGAAGTTAATTTGAGCTCACACGCAAATGTTCCGCGAATTCGACTATCTTGATTAGCATTAGGTTCCTAGATAAGTAAAGTCATCCAGTCCCGTGTCCCGAAAATAACCGTTCCCCAAAATAGCATAGCCACAGTAATTACGATAAACTAATTAACTAATTACAAATAAAATTAGGGACCTATCAGCAAAACGTACATGGAAAGATGTTGTACATAAAAATTAGAGTGTAATGTGCCACGAGCACGTTACGCTATAGCCCTGCTACGTCTATATCATATAGATGATTGATTCTATAGATATCTCAGATTCCTGAGACGAATAATGTCATAGAGATTGGATAGAGAATCTTTGATCAGAGATAGCTGCGAATGCGACATATATATACAGTATTTGGACATTTGTACGTGAATCATTCGCAAATGCAGCATGCGCAGCACACGAGACAGAAGTTCAACTTTCAACACTTTCTTGTTGGACTGCGTGAAAACTCTTTTATTTAAAATGGCAGCACATTCGATACACGTATTCTCGTGCTTGTGTCGCCTCTAAAATGTTACGCAATAGAAATATTTAACTGCTGTGCATACAAATTCATGTATAGTTATATTTTACGACATCCCCAAACTTGAGCCTGTTGAGATCAAATAATTTTAGGGGTCAGGCTGTCCGACTGAGAGAAGGTGATAATCGTTTTCTATCCTCGGGACCCTTTCAAGGTAATAATAATGCTTAGTCGATTTATAATATTCACAGTTGTTATTGACATCGAAGCATCGGATATAACGCTAAAATAATGTAAACTACTTAGCTTAAGGGTTAAGAGTTAAAGGTTCCCGGTGAACTGTGCGGGTTTCCTAGTATATCTCGAATAATTTATATATAGGAAACCCGTCCGTAATCTAAGCGGAAGTAAAGCGTCCGTAAGTAATAGTAGTAGTAGTCCGTAAGTAATAGTAGTAATCCGTAAGTAATAGTAGTCCGTAGTAAAGTAACCCGTCCGTAAGCGGAAGGTACACACCCGCACGCCTGAGGGCGGTCGTACGGGCTAGCCTACTTAACAGTGACCTTCCATGTGCACATACGTACTATGTATAACACGTAGAGAAATAAGAGGAGAAATAAGAATAGCTGCAGATTAAACATGGTTAATACGGCGTTAACACTGCTGCATGTGCAAATACTCACGTGTGAGTTTGGTAAGTCAGCAGCACTATGGGCTGAGATAAGGACATCTCCTCATTCATATGCGACTCGCCATACGATTAGTACTTAATAGCATCCATATGATTATCCATATGATCCTGATACGATATAATTATTATTTGTGGATGAAATATTAATTTTGCTCTTCGTTTTGTAATCCTCTTTCTCGCTAGTTATATATATAGTCTATTGTTATCACAGAATTTGTTGGTTATTTTGTAACTAATCCAACGCACACCTTATAAAACTTATTATTATATGTCGTTAGGCGCATTAAGCTAAATAAGCATCATAAAGTTATTATACATAATAACAGGAGTCTATCAATATGAGTCTATCAATAGGAGTCTATTGATAGACTCCTGATAATAATTGTAAGGTTATTTAAAGATGATATTTATTTTCGCTAACTCATCTTCCATGTACTAATGTGGTGGACCGTGGGTGCATGCACACGGAACGTGCGTTTTGAGCTATACCTTGCAGCTATTCAAAAGGCATCTATTGACACATGCTATCTAAGGTAGATTTTTTACGTGTTTTCCTGAAATGTTTCATACTCACAGTGTTCACGAACATCATGGTTCATGCATGCTAGAATGATCTCATATGTCAAACTAGCAATTGAAATGAAGGCAAGGGCATGCAGGGTGGATCAACAGACGTCCAGCCAATAAAATTGTTCAAGGTAAACACCGCTTGCATATTACTCAACGTGAAAATAAGTTACATATGACGGTCGGAGCAAAGATCCCGATCATAATAATCCTTAAATGAGCTGCCTGCTTTGCCTTTGATTTTTTCTGTTAGAGTAGCTTTTAGGTGTAGACGTGCTTTTTATTTCATTTTCGCATGTGACCGAGTCGCGTGTGTTTTCTTACTGACATTTATATCCTAGTTGTGATATGACAATCGAATAGGAAACATAGTTTTGCTATGGTAAGTACACAAGTTCACTATTATAAGCGGTGGTGATGCTTTTTAACTGTGGAAGTGGCGGTAGCGGCGGCACTGGTAGAAATTGGAAGGGTTATCAATTGTGATGCATAGGAATGGGGGAGGTGCAGTGGCAGTGATAGCAATGCGTTGTACTTTTTTTCTCCACATCTGGTTAATTTCTTGTCGAATGTGTATATTCGCTGCGGCTTGTGCAGTGATGCATGATATCAGTGTTTCTGTTCCGATAGCATTATGACGCAAAATTAGGTTAACAAATTTCCAGCGCTCTAACTACGTAGGCTAGTCATGCTGGTTAATGAATTTATGGCCATTTTCGCGTTCATGAGCCATTTTGTCGGTCAGTTTTC